CTGCTGTTTGGCCGAGAACCAACATTGCCTCTAGACACCGTCATACCGTCCCCTGGAGTACTGCCCAGTGAATATGCCATGGACGCTACCACTCGGGCCGCCCACGCAGGCGAAATCCCCCGTACTCGCCTTCTGACCGCTCAAGAGAAGCAACGGCGCTTGTATGACCAACGACACCATGACGTACACTTTCCGCCCGGTTCTTTGGTCTTGCTCTGTTCTCCAACCCGTCAAGTTGGCTTGTCAGAAAAACCGCTTACTCGCTACACAGGCCCATATCGAGTCCTTCGTGTGGTTACTCCTGTAACATATGAAATTGTTCCTGCCACCCATCGCCTTCATGTGCCCAACAGGCTACCAATATTGTACATGTTGCGCGCTTGAAGCTCTACAACTCTCCTAGTGACGTTGACATTTAGATGCGCCGAGACGGCGCTTGTGCCGCCGGGGGTTATGCTACATGCATGTATATTGATGTTCTAGAGGGCGACGCACGTGTGTGCCTGACGAGGAAGACGAAGGGTTGTCTCCTCTCGATCGCTGGTGAACCGGTCACGCCATCACCGCTGGTTTTGAATATATCTAATCCCCAGCCTAATTGTTATGGCGTCTCTTCTTTTCTGTAACAATATGTTCTGTAGTCCCCTCTAATTAAATAAAGTAAATATTTACCGCGAATTTCACAACCAAGCAATTGTTTGATATGTGGGGTATAACGTCCCAAAACCACCTTATGATTATGAGAGACGCTATAGTGGAGGACTCCGGAAAGTTTGACCACCTCGGGTTCTTTAACATGCCCCCAAATCCGAGCACACGGGCCTAACCATTTCCGCCTCAATCAGAAATGCAGCCGCCGCAGCCTGGCTTCAATACCGCAACCTGCGGGTCAGCAGCTAAGTACCTTAGCCACTAGGCACCGCGGCTGGGGAAGCAACTAAGCAAATATATATACATGCGAACTGTTTTAATAAGTCGTACGTAAGTTTTATTCGTCAATCATGTTGTCTTAATGAGTCAATCCCGATATATTGGCAAAAGCACATTCGGGGCCCGTATTCGCAGAAATGACATTTTTGTGTAGCCTTTGTTTTGGTTCAAACCTTGCTCTGTTAGCAGGCTCTCTACAGTGAAACCCCTGAGCACGGACCTGGGCGCCTCGCTTCGCACGTCCACACAGCACTTCCCATTTATAGAGCTCGCACTGTTCGTTCACAAAACTGCAATTATGCCAATTGTTTAAATGCATGTAGGGCTTCCAAGGCCCGCGTACAATCTTGTTGGGGAAATTCGCAGATTTTGTGGCGACATGCATCCTAGTTTTCGCTGCCATTTTTTGAGTTCTTCGTTGTTACCACAGATAAGTTATGTGTCGTGTGCAGCGAGTTTCATCTGGTTCTTTCGTTATTCATATCTAGAGCCAGAGAAACGCCATTGGGAGGGGCGATCGCGTGCTTGGCAAGGTAGTGGCGCAATCCCTCGCGCGCTGCGGGAGTCAGCGCATGTTTCTGAAACATTTTTGGTGACTTCAAGGTAATGGTTGCGATTGGTTGTTGGTTATTTCTGTTAAATATAATATTTTACACCTAATTCATTTACTCTAGCTGCATTTCGAGCTGTGCTTGCATTATTTAGGGCTCTACTCCCTATTTCATTTTGAGCGTGACCACGCAACGTGAGGTATATGGATAATAGAGAAGCCTGGCTCTTAAGGTGCTGTGCCACTAGCAGATCTTTAGCTAAATAGTTTCGTGAGAAGATGTTTCCGCCAGTTTTTTTTTTTTGCAGGACCTATCATTAGGAAAATCAGCTAGCCGGTGGGAAAGGGCACTAATGGAAAATGTGTTTTCTGATTGCAGCACTACATTATATTATGGTCCAGGATTTTGTCTTCGTTATTCTAACAGCGCCTTCTGAACAGTATGTTATGTGGGTGCGGTTTTGCATGGTTGGCGATTACTATGGCGAAACTAACCAATTAACAGGGTGACTGCTCCTTTTCGTCTAAAATAAAACTCTTTGCAGGGTAAATTGTGAGCGAAATGAAGATAAGTCACGAGTTCCGTTGAATAAAGCAAACTGCACCATGCTTGGATCTTACAGCTCGAGAAATAGGTCTGTGATGTGCTCACATGTGATTGGCCTATCCATGAAGTTAAGGAAAAATGCCAGGAAGTGCATAACACATCATTGTTCGCTAACACATCAAGCCACTCATTGTGGTAAGAAACAAGTGGTGATTATTTTACTCCATATACTTCACATAGGCCTGAAACCGTGTTTTTCAAGTACTTAGTTCAAAATTTCTAAATATATTTGAAATTCAATATGTTTTTAATGCATTCTTACTTGCTCCTTCTGTAGCCGCATACAGGCATATTAAGATACCTGAATACATTTATTGTGATAGCAGTTAAGAATTTAAAAAAATCAACATTTTAATTAACGAGTAAAGGTGGTAGTGTTAAGAGAGAATGGGAGTCATTTATGCGAATAACCCATTGCAGCACCGTGACTTTGCAAAAGTGACCTCTGGTAACAATTGTAAAGTACTGAATATCACACATGTTTAGTAGCGAAAACGAAACCGAAACGCAGAAGAGCACGATTGCCATTTTCATGCGAGACGTCCACAATGAGTTACCATCGTCACAAAAAACCACCAACTGACTTCGTTCTGGGCATTTGCGGGCTACGCTTTCACTAGTAATATGCACACATGACGCATACACGTTCACGTACGCGGAAGAACTGCACCTTCAAAATTCGTATGTTCGACCCTGACGTCAATGTGGTTGTCTTTTTGAGCTCATTGGTGCTCCGGTTGCAGTTCAAGCGGTTGAACCTGGTTCAATGCTATGGTTCCCAAGTAATTACTAGTGGCCCCTTGTTCAATATCCCAAAGGCTGCTAGGATTGGTTCTTTGCATGATGAATTTCGATGTTTATATTTCTCATAACCGCCTTAGACCACTATTCAAAAACTTTATAATTTTAGAATTCTCTATTGCTGCCCCACTAATATCTTTGGCCATTTTAAGATGTCTGTGGCCACAGAAGACGTAAATGAGAAGGCATAGAATAAATATCGCATATCCTTCGTTTTCGAGGAATTAGGAGATTTCTTGAAACACCCCGTATATAAAAAATGCGACCGATGGACAGCCAAAAAGAAAAGTGACCAAGAGAGAAATAATATTTTAATCTGTGAAGGACCAATTCAAACAAGTGACAGTGAAATAATAACTCTTATAAACTTTTCGACGAAATCACAGCAGCTGATAATACATTTGGATAAAGCATGCACTGTGAAGTCGTTTTCAATGCACTGGATGACCCCTGATGAGCTTCCGTGAAATTGACCATCTCGTATTCCTTCATATACTGTGCAAACAACATAAGAGAAAAGCTTATTGGGGCTAGCCAGAGAATATTAGTTTTAGCCGTAGTGCTCGCGCTGGACAAGAAGCGACTCAAGAGTGGAAAACCTTGTCTCCTGTACCAGTGACCCCCCACTTACATCATGATACCCATAACCCGAAGATGTTCTTACCATTCAAAGAAACGTGTACGAAGCCGAATTGAATATGTCTAAGCACAGTGTCGCCCCAATATTTCAATCGTAGCAGTATGGTCGAGAGCTAAGTTGCTCACGCCGGACGGAAGATTTATGTGCTGGGCATACACGCACCGTGCACCTAGATATCGCTGGCAGATTTCGCACACTTCGGCAGAACATATCAGAGATTTGAACTCGTGATTCGACCTGCACTGACTTTTCTTTAAAATTCAAAAGATAAAAGCGCATCTGTGCAAGATGCAAAGTGCATTATCGTTTTCCGGAAGCCAAATTCTCGGTGAACAGGAGCTGTATGTGTAGCATATATTGCATCGTTATCGATCCATGTTAATTGTTGAAGAAATTCACTGCCATGTAGCGTGAGGGAGCTTTTTAAAAATAAAAAAAAGATGCAGCACAACAAGAGCAAAAAAAAACGGAGAGAAACGAACTGGCTGCTTTTCACTGCGCATGCATCTGGAATCTCTCAAAGCGTTAACAACCTGCCGTTGCAAGGTGCTTTCAGTGTTAGCTGTTGAAAAAGATGCGTGTTTCGATTGCTTTTTTTTCGTGCAGGAGGAGGGAGGTGTAAGGGAGGAAAAAGTAGGCTATTGTTCGCGTATCACACAAAACTGCGAGATGGCAGGCAGATTTAAAAACATGTACGTAGTTTAAGAATTTTTTTTCTGGATATTCTGAAAAATAAATACGAGCCTTTCTCGTACCGAGAAAAGTGGTTTGAAAAAAGAATGGGGTGTGTGTCCCTGTCGTAATAATTTTTACGGGATATATGATATGTGTGGTTTTACGGAGGGGAGGGCTTCGGAAATCATCTGGTGATCTTTAACGTGAACTGAATGACATCGCACAGTGCACGGGTCTCTACCATTTTGCCTCCAACCAAAATAACCGCCACTGCCAGGGTCGAACCCGCGACCTTCTGGTCAGCAGGCGAGCATCCTAGCCACTGTTCTGTTAAGGTATACGAGGTAGTATATTTACAAGCAAGCTTCGCGGCAGTTCTTGTGTCGGCGTTGGTTGTAAGTGAAAAATCATCTTGCGCATGACGAAAAATCGGAGAAGGATGCAAAAACAAATATTAACTCACAGATTGCGTGTGAAACGAACATAGCCCGTCCGCGTGGCCAGCAGGTATTTAACCATACAGCCGGGAGATTCCTTAAGTAGTGTTTAAAAAAATAAACATTATGAAAGTCAGGTAGTGGAAAGAATCTCCTGAACACATTTATTCTTGCGGAAGGAAAGCGTAAAACGATTCCAGGTGTTAAAACGTGTGAAGTGCGCATTCATTGAGGGAAGGTTTAAGGTCTACGCATTACAAAGCACGGTGATATATTTAATCATCATCTGCTGCAAAAGTGCGATAAAAATGTAAAAAGAAGTTAGAAAATTGTTAAAAGTATCTCATCTTTTTTTAACAGGTGGTGAAGATGCTGGTTACAGTTGTGTTGATGTTCGCTGTGTGCTGGCTGCCAATTCACATGATGAACCTGGTCGTGTACTTTGACCGCGACGCTATGCTTCCGGACACCACCGAACAAGAGTACCTGTACATCGCGGCCTTCTTTTCCTGCCACTGGTTCTCAATGGCCAACAGTTTCGTCAATCCCATCATCTACTGCTTCATGAGTGACAACTTCAGAGTGAGTCCATAATCCAATGCTATTTTTTTTAGGTATAGCATTTTCAGCAGCCCCGCCGCGGTGGTCTAGTGGCTAAGGTACTCGACTGCTGACCCAGGTCGCGGGATCAAATCCCGGCTTCAGCGGCTGCCTTTCCGATAAAGGCGGAAATGTTGTAGGCCAGTGTGCTCAGATTTGGGTGCACGTTAAAGAACCCCAGGTGGTCGAAATTTCCGGAGCCTTCCACTACGGCGTCTCTCATAATCACATGGTGGTTTTGGGACGTTAAACCCCGCATATCAATCAATAGCGTTTTCAGCAAGTGTGACCAAATCTTTTTCTCGAGTAACACTGAAGTAACTCGTTCATAATGGCTGATTATATTGAATATCAGCCTAGGGGCGATAGCACAAAAACAATTCAAGGATACAACTGAAAGCAATCTGGCGATTCACTCTGCCCAGTGCGGGTGCATTCTTGAGCTTCAAGCAGACACGCATGTTACGCAGATATCGCAATTGCACGTCCGGAATATGAAGCGTTCACGATTCACTCGGCTGGACCATCATGTGCAAGTGGGCCATTCATTGTACTGACCCAGAAGAATCGTAACTAATTTTAGCGCACACTGACACACAAACAAAGAAAAGAAGGGTATAACACCCAGAAGAAGATTACAGCAAAAATTGACTTGAATTTTCATATACTGGCGAGACGCAGGCATAGGGTTTTCTTTTTCTAATATTTTCTTGTTTTTTTCCTTTCGAAGGAGGAGTATACAATTGTTCGCAGAAAATGAACACTATAACATTGTTAGCCAGCACAAGTCTGTTTTCTAGGCTCAGGCTGCTACCCTTATAAATCTATGAACTGAATCAGGACAATCATAGTTGCCCTATAAGTCGAAGGAAGATTTGTACTTGGCTCGTACAATCGTACAACACGCTGTCAAAGAAGTATACGTACGGAAGCAACCAAACCGACAGTGTTAGTTTCATTTCTACCCCATAAAAACAATCAAGGTCACAGACAAGTTGCCAACAAAGTTGCGGTCATTAATATTTATGTTACGTGGGTGCAAAAGTACTTTCCTTGCAATAATGTGTCAAATTTTTTTATTTGAAAATAGCACCCGCAGATTCACCAGAACACTTCAGCGTATCACAATGCGGGACTTATTAGCGAAGCAGATTGAGCAATGAGAAGACGCTCTTATGAAAAAGAAGTTTTGTAAGATTGGCCCCAGGTAATTATTTGGCGCTATCTTCGTTACATAGAGTATTTGTTTTGAGAAGGAAAAGCTGTAGCACAAGGAAACTGAAGATGCCATCAGAAACAAAATAGAAGGAATTTTGGGGGTTTCAGGTGCCTAAATCAAGACAGATGTAAAAAGAAAGAATGCCGTAGTAAAGGGCTCCGGCAATTTTGACCATATTCTAATCTAAGCACCTAAATCTAGGCACGTAGGTCTGTAGCATTCTGCTTTCATCGACATGGGACACCATGGCTTGGATTGAACCCACGTCTATCCGAGCAGCCGAGTATGCCAACCCCCATACCACCGCTGCAGCGACTGCACAAAATGTACTGGCGCTGAATTCGAACAGTTGTTTATGAAGTGAACACGACATTTAAATAAATATCTTACGAGCCCGGCATCGACTCAAAATTGAAGCATTTCACCACTGCACTTCTTGGTGAAACAAGGAACATATGCGTGGAACTGATTACCAAATAATATAAACAAGAAAAACGCTGGATTTTGTGTCTTTGTTTGGTCACATACATTCCAGCTTTTCCAAAGATCATGCGAATTAGGACGGATAATAGAGCTAGTAATAAAACAACATAAAATTTTGAAAGGTACATAAAAATAAAGAGGTGAAGGGGCTAAAGCATAAAAGGAAAAAAATGTAGGTACACCTAGATAAATGCAGTAACAATACTCAAACAACGATGACCCGCATAAGGTAAACATACGCGTGCGTAGCAGAATGGCAACAAGGGTACAGAAAGGACACTGCGTGAACAAACGTTACGTACTACACATACCCATAAATAAAAATAATATCGTTATTGTGAAGTGCCGAAGAAAGCTTCATAGCAAACTGCTCACAATATACACTTCGCAATATAAAAAAAAACCAAAGCAATTTTCGGTACTGCCCTTTCTCGTGAGATCCTAAAGAATGCTGTTTGCGTAAGTTATCTGATGCACTGCAAACCTTTCACAATAGCCCCGCCATGGTGGTGTAGTGGCGAAGGTACAAGGCTGCTGACCTGCAGGTCGCGGGATCGAGTCCCGTCTGCGGTGACTGCATTTTAGATGGAGGGGAAAATGCTGTGTGCCCGTGTGCTCAGATTTGGGTGCACGTTAAAGAACCCAAGGTGGTTGAAATTTCCGCAGAACTCCACTACGGTGTTTCTCAAAATCATATGGTGCTGATAGGATGTTAAGCCCCACATATCAACAACCTTTCGAAAGGCTCATCAAAATGCCTCCTGAAATTTAAATAATCTACAGCGGATGTTTTCCTGCCCTATCATTGAAACATTGTGTGTCTTCTGGGCTATGTATACCTTTTCGCAAGTAAGTGTAATTTTCTAAGGCATTTGGAACCCTTAATGGGAAAAACATTGCGTGCCTCTTAGTTCACTTTTTACTGTCTAATTGAGGTATTAACGAGCTCATTTACGAAAACTTACACGAAGCGTCAACATAACATTTTTTTCTAAATAAAAATGTGAGGAGTAAATCTTCTTGATTTGTGCATTACATTGATTAAAACTGCATGAACGCAATTAATTCGTTGCAAACTCGACTAAAGCCTTGGTTCCACGAATGCACTATGGATATCCTAGCCAAACGATGGGCACGTTCCGTGTAACTAAGGGGTTCTTTATTCGGCCATGAAATCATTATTTCTGTTCCTGTCGCTTAACTCACGATGTGATTCCTCCGTAGGTGGACCTTCGGCAACTCGTCGTCGGTTGTTGTCCGTTGCTGGCCATGCGTTCAGGTGGCCGATCTCTTGGAAAACGTAGCTCATACGGTGGCGGCGGTTCTCTTCCCAGCAGCACCATGATGCTTTCGAGCACTACTTCGAGTCATCACCACCAGCACCACCAGCGCTGCAATGGATTCTACACGCATTCGCCCACATCGGTCGTGGCACTGAAGACGCTCGGAGACTGCGTTGCCGGCGAGGCCACCACGCTGCGCCTCCCCGTCTACGAGTAAAAAAGCACTTGCGTAATCGGCTAACTTAATCCTCAGTGGCACCGGGCTCGCTTTAATTGAAGAACTCTGATTCGTAACCCGGAAATCGGTTCAAAAACTAGAAAAGCATCCCTACGCATGAGTCTCATTTTCCAGAGTCGTGGCGATGGCTTACTGAAACGACCTCGACAGGCGTGCCCTGCTGAATGAAGATCTCTACCAAATATTTTCAAGGAAGCTCTAGTTTGCGGCACGGTAACGTATGCGACGCCGGTAAAATGAATACTGACGTGCGTTTTGCTATACAGTGGGCCAGAACTCACAGATGTGCCACATTCTGGTGAAAAACAATTTCGCGTGGCGAATCTGCGTACCAGAAGTATATAAGCATATGTCTTGGAGCCGGGGCGACGGTTCTCAATTTGACATGGTAACTGCAAGCATGAATCTGTCATGGTGAATTTAACAGCAATTGCAAGATGTAATTATGTTGACTTCGCTTCAACTCATCATCAAACATTGAAACAACATGATAGAAACCCCGTTTTGTATCAAATGGGTGTAATATCTTCATAAATGTGTGGTGCATTGTCGGGTGATGAGGTGCTACCGCCTTGATAAGTGTTATCACTCTACTGGCTGTACTTGGTGTCAAGTTTCTCTCCAAGACTGTTGATTATCAGCAGCTGTCCGAGGGACAATCAAGGTAGACTTGTGTTGTTCTGATAATTTGAGGGCTGCTGTCGTGGTCACATCGTTCCTTCAAATGTCAGGAACATGTTTAACTTCATTTAAAAAAAACTAAAACTCCACGCAGCCTTTTGTGTTTTCTTGCTTTGCGGTCAGATATGCTGCGGCAATTACTAGACATGTTATTGCATGGTCAAAAAGGTTTGTATTAACAAGGTAGTGTTATGCAAAAACACTACCATTACCATTTATGGCTCATTACGCAACGTGGGTTTGTAACAGAATGATTGCGTACCGTGAAGAGATACTAATATCCGCAAAGAAAGCAATGTTTCACTGAATTTCTGCATATTTTTCATTTTTGTTCTTTGATATCGCGAGCCAAATCTTACAAGTAGTGTGGCTTGCAATGTCAACACTGTATCTGTACATAAAGGCAATTAATATACCACATATCAAAACAGATAAACTTATTGTGTAAACGGCCGTGGTCATGATCGACGCACTAAACACACCAGACTAAGTAGCGGAAGCATGACCTGAATTCGTGCTTTTCAACTATATGCATTGCGCCTTGCATATTGCGAGCTCTAGGACCTAATTAGACACATTAGCGTTCTAATGTATTCATAAGCAGTGTTTAGTGAGGCAATGGAGTCTTTATCTTATTCCCACTTAGCGATTCTAACTACAGGGATGTGAAAGTGAAGTTATATGTTGCGACATGGCACGTGGTAAGGACATTGGTCAAACCGAGAATTATCGGTTGTTAAACTGAAGGTACTTTTGTAAACGGAAACGATACGTGGATATCTTCAATTTAGAAAGCCGGGTGTAGCACACCTTTGGCGCATAACTTATGAATAGCAAAAAACCTTCAATCACTGATGTTTTCAAGCTGATTTGATAAGAATGAAGTAAAGGTTTGCTTGATAAATGCACAATGCATGATACTTGTGCCTATTTTAATGATTGCACTTCATCTATTGTAACAAAAATCTCACAGCTTGTAACTCCAATACCACTTCCCCAGCCTATGGCCAATGATGCTTCATTGTCTGCATAAAATATGCAGCAATGTCAATTTTCGTCGAGAATAAACTTTCACCGTAAAACAGAAATGTGACTGAAACGGTGTATCCGGCTCAGATGGAGTAGCCTTACAGAACTATATAATTATTAGCACGTATCCACGTCAGTCGCAACATATTTCTCAAGTATTCTTTCAAGAGCAGTCGCTTACAAATGTTTAATAATATAGACCAAAATAATAAACAAGCAACAAATAAACATGCATATAAGTACGTCTGTCGGTAAGTGTGTGTACGCCCACAGCCCCAAAAGTGTGCTGGCCACTCTCTTCGCGGGAGTAGAGGGTTGTCCCATGTTTCACTTCCTTTTCAGGAGTGGTGGGAACTCTCTTCTGCTCAGAGTAAACGCCCTCTCTCGAAAGATTGCTGGTACTCTGACTTAACTAGAGTGAACAAGCTCCCTCGCCAGAGTACAGTAATGCTTCTGAAATAGAGTTCATACACCGTCTGCGGGAGTTGCGCTACTCTCTCACAGAGTTTTACAATCTGGTGGGGCCAGAGTGCACCAATTTCCTCAAGAGTAGAATCACTCCTGCTGCGCTAGGACTAACGTCTCAAAAAAGTTATGTCGAGCATTTTGTAAAAGCAGTGAATTGCATAGATTGCTTCAAGCTTACGTCACATATGCAGGACGATCATCGGCATACAAATTATAAAAGTACGTACCACAGCAAACAACACTGAACATATACCTTTCGCAATACAGACAACCATTCAGGCAGCAACTGGTATTCATACTCATGATGTCTAGCCCCTGTCTAGTGCGGATGGCGCTACATTTCTACTGCGCGTTTTGAAGAGCAAATGTACTTCTTGTGTGTGTAGCTATGCGGTCATTTTTATGCACTCTGTAGGCACATGGACCTTTTATTATAAAACTTCATGACATACAGCGTCATTTTCAATACAAAATTTCATGTAAGGGCTGATATTCTGTCATATCGCTCAATGTGGTGAAGCCACTTGTGCCCAAGCCTGAGAGTTGTACTTAGACGCTTACAAACACAGCTGGCACGATCTCTCAGCAGTGCTGGCCGAAAAATATTCTACGAACGTTACGATTCGGCGTACGATCCGACTTGCGATGCCGCGGGGTGTACACCAGAAAAACAACGCTGGTCGGCAAAACCAAAACTCACACGCATCTCTGGCAATCCTTGTAGTTTTGCTCACCTCGTATACACTTTAATACAACAATGAGAGCCTTGTGCATTGCTCAAATGTCAACCTTCTCGAGTCACCTGCGCCGAGATCGGTCTAAGTAATTGTGACCCGTACAACTCCCAGCGAATGTTGGCCTAGCTTACCGGCTGAATCCGTCATACATGCCATTGATGCTTCTGGGTTTAATAATATGCTACGCCGATGAGTAAGAATGAGTGTACACTGTCGTCGTTTATGAAAGGAAGCACGCGAACGCGTGACCTGCGCTCTGCGGCGGCTACCTACAGGATAATCAAGAAGAAGCAAAGAAAGTGCGTTGACTTTTGGCGTCATCTATGGCCCAACAAGATAACGAGTCATGGCCGATAGACAAGCGCTGCTAGACTACGTTCCCTCGATTAGCTATATCGGGCGATTACTGCAGCTTGCACCGTGGTCGCGCACAACGTTTGATATGTTTGCAGTGGACGAGGGACTACAGGTGTGAGCCGAGATGGAGTGCAATCTAGCAGCGCTTGCCTACCGGCCATAACTCGTTATTTTTTTTTGCAACAAATGACGCTGAAACCAAACGTGTTTTCTTTGCTGTCAGTTGATGGTGCTGTAGGCAGCCATCACAGAGCGCAGGCCACGTGTTCACGTGTTCTCTTTCATAATGAGCGCCCCGCCGCGGTGGTCTAGTGGCTAAGGTACTCGGCTGCTGACCCACAGGTCGCGCGTTCAAATCCCGGCTGCGGCGGCTGCATTTCTGATTGAGGCGGAAAAGTTGTAGGGCCGTGTGCTCAGATTTGGGTGCACTTTAAAAAACCCCAGGTGATCGAAAGTTCCGGAGCCCTCCACTATGGTGTCTCTCATAATAATATGGTGGTTTCGGGACGTTAAACCCCCCATGTCAATCAATCAATGTTTCATAAGGGACGGCAGTGTACAGCAGACCCTTGCTCTCGGTTAACTTGAATGAATCATTGTGTACAGTAGACTCTTGCTCTCGTTTAACTTGAATGAATCATTGTTTCTCGCGTATGGTGTGCGCATAAGGAGCGATGAGCATCGATGCGACGCGCTTTCAGCCTGCGGTGCAGCGCACACGGGCTACCACCGACAGCCGCCGGGCGCATTCGTCGGCACTTCGCTTACTCATACGGGGAAACACAGACTTGTCGTTCAGTGTGCGTTGAAAAAGTGACACGATGAGACACTTTCATGCCCTTGCAGTTGGGGTTTAGCTATCGGCTATGTAGTTCCAGCTAACGGTTTACACATACAAATCAATACACTCGAACACGGCTGCTGCACTATAGCATATCGTCGCTTGTGTACGAAAATACTCCTAAGTCAATCGACTACGCGCGTATTTATCGAGCACTGCAGTCTATTTGAAAATTCGGCGCACGTCAACCAGCAGAAAAAGGGAGTGTAGACTATTTCACTCGGCCGTAAATCATGTGGCCGAGGTTCTCGGTAATTCGGTATACTTTATTTCCTATGCTGTGAATTCTGAAAGAAACTTGGCACCTTGGAATTAGTGGCATGTAATGCGTGGACGCCAGTAGTTCCCATATCATGAAGAGGCAAGGTTTAGTTAGAAAAGAAAATCGCGTATGTGCTTAAACTGAGATACGTGAAGCAGAGTGGCGTGTTTTCGTACAACCAGTTTTTTTTTACACTGCAATGCCCATGGCGCAATGTGGCGTAGTGGTAGAGTACTCGCCTCCTCATACGAAAGTGGAGAGTTTGAAATCCACTCTCAACATGTTTTAACGTTTTTTTGAATATGTGCTGACTCTTTTACCTTTCTCTAGTAGCAATTCGTTTGTGCCGTAAACTAAGTTTTGGCGACGCTTTAGATGTCCACTGCTCATTGCTTCGAAGGTGTTGGTGTTGGCACTTTCAGAACTAAATGCTCATGATCGCACAACCGTGTTTTTGTTATCACTGAAAGTTATCCTATTACTTGGTGCTTTAAACTTACAACTGCGGCGTCTACGCTCACTGGCGTAGGGTTACGAGACAGGTATATTGCTTTGCGGCGTCGGTGGTAGCATGCAAGCACTCGACTGTACTCCGTCAGTAAGGAAGGAGTGCCAGATCCCTTTCACGCCTCATCGGCAAGAAAGTTGCGTTGCTTGGGAACTCCACTTGAGTGGCTTAGAGTTCGCAGTCTCTTTTACTCTGCATTCAAAGAAAGAGCACGTTCCGTGGCCAACTCTGCCCCACTCCTCCACGGAGTTAATGAACTCTGCGGAGAGTAACACAATCCCTCTGCTCCTGCCATACCTACTCAAATTCTGGGAGTGTAGTTTGAGAAGCTACAGAATGCATAAGTGCTCGCGTTGATTGGAATAACCCATGTCAACAGGTAAACATAGTTTTGGCCTCGAGCATCATCTTCTTGGCTTCGTGAAAGTCATTTGTCAGTGTCATCCCTTGTCGCCTGACACGTACGGCATTTTACAGTTAATGTTCTATGAGGTGACTAGATTAACAATTCAGTCGGGCGAAAATATTAACTCTAAGACCTTTGTAATTGTCTTAGGCAGGAGAAAAAACTACACTTAGAGAGCAAAATGGTTTTGAGTAGCTCCATCGTCAGTGGATATGTGAAACTTTTTTATGGAAGTGTACTGTTAAGCCGGTTGCAAAGTGTTGTATTCTTGAGAAGTTGCTGCAGCCGAAGCTAGAGAAAGAAAAAGAAAAAAATGCTGTGTTTGAAGCGAGCGCCTTGTATAACAGCATATCCTCACACTACACACGGAACCACACTGAATGAGGTGCTACTTTACACCGTATCAGTATGTTTGCATATATGTACATATATATTCGGCAGATGACTATTTTTGTCTCAGTCAGAGGACTGTCTGTGTTGTAAAACTGCTATACAGCTAATAACCATTCTTCTGCAGCCTGAACGAAGATAAAAGGCGCAACGTTACAGCACTAGTAGTTCTATTTAATATCGGTATGTTAGACCCCACGTGATGAACGTTACATAAGGTGTCATGGCTAACATTTCATGCAGCGAAGTTTTCAACAAACTCAGCTTTCCTTCACAGGAACTCCCCTACAAAAAGGTTTCCCTCCGCAGCACTTCACCAGTAATATTTCAGGAACATGGCCGGGAAACTTTTATGCATAGGAAAAATAAACATTTAGACGCCGTTGTTCCAGAGGTGCGAATATTATTTAAGTGGTATTGTGAAGCTACAGATAGAAAAATTACCATTGAA